CGTCACCATCGTCATCATCGTCATCATCATCGTCATCATCATGGATGATAACCATCATCCTGCATCCTCTGCATCACCTCGTTATCGTCATCATCATCGTCATCATCATCATCGTCATCATCGTCATCATCATCGTCATCATCATCGTCATCATCATGGATGATAACCATCATCGTGCATCCTCTGCATCACCAGCAGTCATATGTTTACGCATCCTCTGATGGTGGTCATTATCGTCATCATCATCATCATCATCGACATCATCGTCATCATCATCATCGTCATCATCGTCATCATCACCGTTGTGCTGCTGATGGTGACGATGACGATGATGACCACCATCATGCATGCTGATGATGACATGCTCATCGTCATCACATCATCGAGGATGCTGATGATGATGACGATGATGATGATGACACGCTTGTCATTATATCACATCAAATCGTTGAAGTCCTTACGTTTCAAGGGTGACGTTAGAGCTGATTGGAGATGCAGAGGGTGCGTAGTCATGATTATCATCATGACTGTTGGTGATGCAGAGGATGCACGATGCTGGTTATCGTCCATGATGATCATCATCATCATCACGATAACCATCATCGTGCATCCTCTGCATCACCAACAGTCATGATGATAATCATGCCTTGAAACGTATATAAAAAAGATAAGGACTTCAACGATTTGATGTGATATACTGACAAGCGTGTAATCATCATCATCGTCATCATCATCAGCATCATCCTCGTCATCATCACCGTTATCATCATCGATGATAACCATCACCAACAGTCAAGATAATCATGTCTACGCATCCTCTGCATCTCCAATCAGGTCACTGATGATGTGATGTCACCATGATGGTGGTCATTATCATCATCATCATCATCGTCATCATCATCATCATGGATGATAACCATCATCGTGCATCCTCTGCATCACCAGCAGTCATGATATGATGCTGAACTGACATGATAATCATCATGACGCATCCTCAGCATCACCAGCAGGCATCATGATAATCATGTCCACGCATCTTGTGCATCTGAAATCGGCTCTGATCATGATCATGATGATGATGATGAACTGACATGATAATCATCATGACGCATCCTCAGCATCGCCAGCAGTCATAGGATTATGCTGTGAGAAACTCACAAGCGTGTCATCATCATCATCGTCGTCATCATCGTCGTCATCATCGTTCGTCATCATCATCGTCATCCTGGTTGATAACCATCATCGTGCATCCTCTGCATCACCAGCAGTCATGACGGTAATCACATCTACGCACCCTCTGCATCTTCAATCAGGTCGCAACAATGATGATGTGATGATGAGCATGTCATCATCATCATCATCGTCATCATCGTCATCATCATGGATGATAACCATCATCGTGCATCCTCTGCATCACCAACAGTCGTGATGATAATCACGACTGCACCCTCTGCATCTCCAATCGGCTCTACGACAAGGATTATGATGTGATATACTGACAAGCGTGTCATCATCATCATCGTCGTCATCATCGTCGTCATCATCGTCATCATCATCGTCATCCTGGTTGATAACCATCATCATGCATCCTTTGCATCACCAACAGTCCAATCGGCTCTAACGTCATCATCATCATCGTCGTCATCATCGTCGTCATCATCGTCATCTATCATCATCATCGTCATCATCATCGTCATCATCATCATCATCATCGTCATCATCATGGATGATAACCATCATCGTGCATCCTCTGCATCACCAACAGTCATGATGATACTCATGACTACGCACCCTCATCATCGTCGTCATCATCGTCGTCATCATCGTCATCATCATCGTCATCCTGGTTGATAACCATCTTTCGTGCATCCTCTGCATCACCAGCAGTCATGACGGTAATCACATCTACGCATCCTCTGCATCTTCAATCAGGTCGCAACAATGATGATGTGATGATGAGCATGTCATCATCACCCATATCGTCACCATCATCGTCATCGTCATCATCATCATCATCATCATCGTCATCATCATCGTCATCATCATGGATGATAACCATCATCGTGCATCCTCTGCATCACCAACAGTCGTGATGATAATCACGACTGCGCATCCTTTGCATCTCCAATCGGCTCTAACGTCACCCTTGAAACGTATACAAGAAGCTATAAGCACGACAACGATTATGATGTGATATACTGACAAGCGCGTCATCATCATCATCGTCGTCATCATCGTCGTCATCATTGTCATCATCATCGTCATCCTGGTTGATAACCATCATCGTGCATCCTCTGCATCACCAACAGTCGCATGACTGCGCACCCTCTGCATCTCCAATCGGCTCTAACGTCATCATCATCATCGTCGTCAGCATCGTTGTCATCATCGTCATCTATCATCATCATCGTCATCATCATCGTCATCATCATCATCATCGTCATCATCATCGTCATCATCATGGATGATAACCATCATCGTGCATCCTCTGCATCACCAACAGTCATGATGATACTCATGACTACGCACCCTCTGCATCTCCAATCGGCTCTAACGTCACCCTTGAAACGTATATAAAATAAAAGAGACAAGCGCGACAACGATTATGTGTGATACAAGCGTGTCATCATCATCGTCGTCATCATCGTCGTCATCATCGTCATCATCATCGTCATCCTGGTTGATAACCATCATCGTGCATCCTCAGCATCACCAGCAGTCATGACGATAATCACATCTACGCATCCTCTGCATCTTCAATCAGGTCGCAACAATGATGATGTGATGATGAGCATGTTATCATCACCATGGTGGTGATTACCGTCATCATCATCGTCATCATCATCATCGTCATCATCGTCATCATCACCGTTGTCATCATGGATGATAACCATCATCGTGCATCCTCTGCATCACCAACAGTCGTGACGATAATCATGACTACGCACCCTCTGCATCTCCAATCGGCTCTAACGTCACCCTTGAAACGTATATAAGAAGATATAAGCACGACGATGTGATATACTGACAAGCGTGTCATCATCATCATCGTCGTCATCATCGTCGTCATCATCGTCATCATCATCGTCATCCTGGTTGATAACCATCATCGTGCATCCTCTGCATCACCAGCAGTCATGACGGTAATCACATTTACGCATCCGCTGCATCTTCAATCAGGTCGCAACAATGATGATGTGATGATGAGCGTGTCATCATCACCCATATCGTCACCATCATCGTCATCGTCATCATCATCATCATCGTCATCATCATCGTCATCATCATGGATGATAACCATCATCGTGCATCCTCTGCATCACCAACAGTCGTGATGATAATCACGACTGCGCACCCTCTGCATCTCCAATCGGCTCTAACGTCACCCTTGAAACGTATATAAGAAGATATAAGCACGACAAGGATTATGATGTGACATACTGACAAGCGTGTCATCATCATCATCGTCGTCATCATCGTCGTCATCATCGTCATCATCATCGTCATCCTGGTTGATAACCATCATCGTGCATCCTCTGCATCACCAACAGTCGTGATGATAATCATGACTGCGCACCCTCTGCATCTCCAATCGGCTCTAACGTCATCATCATCGTCGTCGTCAGCATCGTCGTCATCATCGTCATCTATCATCATCATCGTCATCATCATCGTCATCATCATCATCATCGTCAGCATCATCGTCATCATCATGGATGATAACCATCATCGTGCATCCTCTGCATCACCAACAGTCATGATGATACTCATGACTACGCACCCTCTGCATCTCCAATCGGCTCTAACGTCACCCTTGAAACGTATATAAAATAAAAGAGACAAGCACGACAACGATTATGTATGATACAAGCGTGTCATCATCATCATCGTCGTCATCATCGTCGTCATCATCGTCATCATCATCGTCATCCTGGTTGATAACCATCATCGCGCATCCTCAGCATCACCAGCAGTCATGACGATAATCACATCTACGCATCCTCTGCATCTTCAATCAGGTCGCAACAATGATGATGTGATGATGAGCATGTCATCATCACCATGGTGGTGATTATTGTCATCATCATCGTTCGTCATCGTCGTCATCATCACCGTTGTCATCATGGATGATAACCATCATCGTGCATCCTCTGCATCACCAGCAGTCATGATGATAATCATGTCTACGCATCCTCTGCATCTCCAATCAGGTCACAACGCTGACGTCATCATCGTCATCATCAATATCATCATCGTCAGCATCACCAACATCACCGTTGTCATCATGGACGATAACCATCATCGTGCATCTTCTGCATCACCAACAGTCATGATGATAGTCATGACTACGCACCCTCTGCATCTCCAATCGGCTCTATCGCCCTTGAAACGTATGTATACAAAGAGATAAGAACGACAAACGACAACATCATGTCTACGCATCCTCTGCATCTTCAATCAGCTCGCAACAATGATGATGTGATGATGAGCATGTCATCATCACCATGGTGGTGATTATCGCCATCATCATCGTCGTCATCATCATCGTCGTCATCGTCATCATCACCGATGATAACCATCATCGTGCATCCTCTGCATCACCAACAGTCATGATGATAGTCATGACTACGCACCCTCTGCATCTCCAATCGGCTCTATCGCCCTTGAAACGTATGTATATAAAGAGATAAGAACGACAACATCATGTCTACGCATCCTCTGCATCTTCAATCAGCTCGCAACAATGATGATGTGATGATGAGCATGTCATCATGACCATGGTGGTGATTATCGTCATCATCATCGTCATCATCGTCATCATCACCGTTGTCATCATGGATGATAACCATCATCGTGCATCCTCTGCATCACCAACAGTCATGATGATAATCATGACTACGCGCCCTTCCCGTGCGCCTCCCCCTTTGAGGAGAAGGGGTCGGCGGATTATGTCAGGTTTCCCGTTTTGGGGAAAAGGGTGGAGCACAAAACGACACCAGGTGGACACCTTTCTGCAGCGCGTGGCGGATGTGGTCAGCAACGGAGATGAGGGCAACAAGGAAATGCTGACCATGGCCACAGACATCCGGAAGCTGTTGGCGAAGGTGGTGCCTATGCTGCTCTCAGCCCGCGACAACAGCTCTGCATTGGACGTCGACACCCGGCCTTCCAACCGTTCGCAGGCCACCTACGCCCAGGACAATTTGCTGAAGCTGCAAACCTACACCGGCTGGGCGTGGCCTGTCATCATTGACTACACAAAGGATGCCTACGATGACAAGGAGCTGTCGGATGACATCAAAGCCCGCATGATGCGAGGCACCGACGGGTCTTTGAGCTACCTCAGCTCTGTGCTCGTGTACGCGTGGACAGCGGCTAAATTCCAGTTCCCAGTGGTAGAGGAGATTATGCAGACGAAGGAGAGCAACGGGGAGATCTTGATGAAGGCCGGCTGTGCTGCCAGCTACGCTAAGCTCCTGGGGGACATCACCCAGATGTACGCGGATCTCTCGGACTCCAAGCAGGAGTGCTTCATGAAGGATGGCAACTTCACGGACTGGCAAAAGTGTGCTTACGACTCCGCCGACTCCCTGTACAAGGTGAACTTGGCCATTGCCGAGTCGTCCAATGCCATGTGGCAGTGCTTCGGCATCTACTGGGGCTGCTCGCAGCTGATCAACCAGGCCTATGCGGACCTTTCCAAGGCCTTGGCCGCCAGCATGAAGATGACGGACTCCTGCACCGGGGGCGACGCAGAGCTCTGCCGGTCCTACGCCTTCCAGGTGTTGGGTGTGCTGAGTCAAGGGGGAGGCCTTATGGAGTCTGCCACCGACGACTGCAGCCTCAAGGGAGCTTCTGGTGACTCCCCGCTGAACCCCTGGGCGGCCACTCCCTTCGAGAAGCGCGAGGACGCCTCGGAGACGAGCACCAAAGTCTAAGCTGTTTGGCAAAGTCCAAAGTTTATACCTGACCCGCGGACGCCCGCAGCAATGACTCACGCCGCGGAAGCGCAACAAAAGAGATGGCGGAAGGTTGAATATGAGACTATACAACAAAAACACACCTTTTCACACTTAAACAACTCCAAGTCCGGCTGAACGCACCGCCCGTGGTTTCTCGCTTCTGCCTGACCTGGATTTGGGTTGGAGGTCTTTTGTTTGGAGCTGGTAAGCACCTGGTGCGCACCTTGCCGCAAGGCATGGCGTCGGAAGCTGCTGCTGAAGCATATCGCAGGTGGGTGCGCGAGGGGTGGTTTCCCTTTGCTCTCTTCAATCAGCCACAAGAAAGTGACAAGAAACCAGCAAGAAGCCGGCACTTTGACGAAGGTACCCTTGCCCTCGGTGTTTGCAGTCGGTCTTTGCAGTCGGTCTTTGCAGTCGGTCTTCGCCGCCGCCAGCCGGAGCTACCACGGTGTACATCGAGTGTTACACTTGCAGCTGCAAGAGTCTCTCCGCAAGTTTCTTTTCGCGCGATCTCCATTTAAGCTTTTCTGCGCAAGTTCTCTGTGCAAGTAATCTGCGCAAGTTCCCGGCTCAAACTTCTCTGCTCAAGTTCTCCATGCAAGTTTCTTTGCACAAGCAGTTTGTGCAAGTTTTATATCGATGCAAGCTTCTCCTGAACTCTCGGTGGATGTCTCTTTGCGCAAGTGCTCTGTGCAAGTTTCGCTGTGCACGGTCTCTGTGGGGCAAGAATACTGGGGTCGCGTGTGCAAAGCACAACGTAGCAAAATAGCAAACAACATCAACCTTTTGCACATTGTTGCAGGGTCGGTTTGGTCCCAACACGGCGCCTTTTCGGGTTCGCATTTCTTATGCAAGATGTCTCGCGCTCTGCATGGCTCTCGCACATCTTGCTCTGCCTGCGCTCTCGTGCTGCTTGCTCTGCATGGCCCCTATAGATCTTGCTCTGCGTATACCCTCGTGCTTCTTACTCTTCTCGTGCCGCTTGCTTTGCGTGTGCTCTCGTGTATCTTGCTCTGTGCCATTTGGCTGCACGATAAGACTGGCGATTTTCAAAAGATCGAGAAGGGGTTGCTACCTGTGCTTCCCATATTGATATTTGCTTGCACTGAACAGTCGCCAGAAAAGGAGCTTTCAAAACGCTGCGAAATAAACAACAACGCCAGCAAGGGAGCAGCACGCACACTTGAGGTTTTATGCGGGCTGCTTTGGGGCGCAGTTTCCCAATGTCCACTTGGGAATGCAATACCGCAGATGTCTCTACTGCTACCTGCAGGGTGCCGGACCTACTTTATGGCAGGCTGCGGGTGATGAAGATTCCCTGCACTCGGCCCAACGACTTCTATGCTGAGATGATGCGGCCTGGGGCTCCGCTTGAGCAGTTGGGCAGTCTCTCAAAGCCTTTCACCTCACGGGTTCACTTGGACCATTCGCTGACGGTTTTTGATGAGCCCTACTGTCCAGAAAACCACGGTGTGTTCGTGGCAGGGCTGGGGTGCAGATTGATGTGTGTCGTGACGGCCTTCAGCCAAGAAATGTGAGGCCTGACAAGCAGATGTACAGAGTGCGCCAACAGGCTTCAGAGGAGGAGCGCAGAATCAAGGCAGGTTTTTGTGACAAGGGGAACAAGGGTAGCTCGTGTTGACCCCAGATTGATAAACTAGGGGGCTCCCCCCAAAGGTGAAGGCTTTCCCAAAAGCGGACGCCGCCTTATTGATCGACCAAATCAATTGATCCTGGGTTGTCATTCTGGCAGCATTGCCCGGCGAAGTTCTGGGGACAGCGAAGCGTTCAACTGAGAGCGCAGACACCATTGCGGCATGTCGCGATTGCATGAGGTATGCTTTTGCTACATGTCCTGTAGCGGCTTGCTCTTAGTGCCTGTGGTGCCTGCGAGTAGTGCCCTCCCTGGCAGATTGTGGAAGACAGGAAAAAGCATCAGGCAAGCAAGAAGTTTGCCAAGCAGGCCTGGCGTGCCTGGCGGGGTGCGCTCGGAGGACAATTTGTGTCTCGCTTGGCCAGGCCAAATCCAAGAAGCTGGAAGAAAGAGCCAAGGCGCAGTGGGCGTTGTGAGGGTGGTCTCGGTGTTAGCGAGTTTTTTTGTATGCAGTTGGGCAACGCAACATGTGAAGCGGTAGTTGCTTTGGACTGTGGGGCAGGACAAGCGCAACTCTCTGGAGCAAATTGCGGATTGGCAAGCTCGGAAGAAGATGCATGGGAAGAATGTGGATGACCAGGAGGGGGGTTTGGACCATATCCAGCGCGGCCCTGGTGAGCTGGCAACAAGCTGAACTTTCGAGTCATCCCTCTGTTTGCAGAAAGTTCATTGAGAAGGTTGCAGCTGTTCATTTAGAAAGCTCAGCAAGTGGGCGAGGGCTGGCTCTGGAATGTCGTTCAGACGGCGTTGTTGACGCGGTTTCGGATACCCTCTTGCCCCTCTCACAGACTGTTCATGGCGTCATATGTACAAGCTTTCTTTTGCGTGACGTTGCCATGGTGGAGAGTATTCCTACAAGCTTCGTTCTACAGAGCTTCTCATATTGGGTTTCGTGGCACATGTACGTGTTCATCTTTACTTCAGAATTTTCCCGCTTGCTCAGACCTGTGTGGGGCTTGTGTCGTGATTTGTACCTGTAGACCTTCTGGTTATCCTAGCCCGAGCCCCCAGCGGCCTTCCTTCTGGGGGACCCTTTCCTGCTACTTAACCATACGTCGGTCCGCCCTTTAGGCCAAGTAGCTCGGCAGAGGTCCTTGAAGGAAGGTGAGCGCGGTTGGCCGGACTTGGCTGATGCAGAGCCGTAAGTACTGCTCATTGATATCGTTGGAATTTCTCCGAATGGACAATGCCCTGCATCGTGTGCTGCACTTCGAAGAGGAGCAGAACCTCAACGCTTTGTGGCTAGTAGTTCCATGTGTGATATTTGTTTACCATGTTTGACGCAATGGGCGCAGTTTCGGGTTGACATGGCGGACTCACTCACGTTCCCGCCAACTGGAGGGTGGGGGGAGGGACTCCGCGGCATGCGAGCGCAGGACTTGGAAGAGATTCTGAGTCGGCAGAAGCCGAAGGATGATGGGTGCCTCGCATGATACACGCTGAAAAGGGACGTGGAACCAAACAACATTAGGTTCTCATTGCAATTCTATTTATATATACACATATGTGTACACACAAACATGCACATGTGTATGCACATAAACAAATAGTTACATTTGTCATTGTCCCAACATCATTTTTTGCCTATTCGGGGTTCCGTGTTGGGTTTTGTCAATAAGTTTAATGATCGCAGACTCAAGGCTGTTTGAGTTTGTGCCCAGGAAAGGGAAGGGGAAGGGCAAGGGCAAGGCTGGACCGAAGATTGTGTTGGGCATGCTTGGAGTTGCTACAGGTCGTCAAGCCTTTGATCAGGTTTGAGCAACTGGAGGTGAGCCTGTTGAAGGGACATGGCCTGGAACAATATGTGCGGAGCTCTGACCATTGTTTGTGCTTTAGGCCAAGAAGTCAGCGAAAAGACGAAACCTGGATGAGAAGTATGGCTTTGGAGGGAAGAAGTGGCTGCCCTAGTGTACTCTGATTGAGCGGGGCTTGCTTTAGCTGCCATCGGCGAGGAAGAGAAAGAAGCAGAACGACAGGTCGTCAATGGACGACATGTCCAAATCTCCATGGGAGCGGGGCTTGGTGACTGCAGCGTCGCAGCGATTCTTTCCGTCGGACTGTCCGGGCCGAGGCCAAGAAGGGTGAGGGCAAAGGAAAAGGAAAGGGAAAAGGCAAGGGAAAAGGCGGGCTTCAGCAGTGCTTCTGCAGTGAACACCGTGAGATGCAGGAAAAAGAAAGAGATGAGCCTGAAGATGTTTCTCTAAGACTCGGCGCCTGTAGCTTTGCTGGTCATGTCTTCGTGGCAGTCTATTTGACGGAAGTGACAATGCACATTTGCTTTCTCACCCATCACCCCTCACCCCGAAGTGACCACCCTGACTTTGGCTTGGTTCAGCGTAGCTACTCAGGAGTTGAGCGCTTCACCCGCACCAAAATTGGCCGCGGCTGGCAGGGTCGAATAGACTTGGCCGAGCCAACTTTTCCATGATTGGGAGTTGAGTAAGCTACACTTCGGGAAGCTCATTTTTCTCCAAGGGTGTCCTTTTTTCGGCTATTAGGGGGAATCTAAGGGAGACCACCCGTTTTGCTGCTTTCTCATTTTGACGCTTCCGAGACTGCCGACTGGCTTTTTTCCGCAGCCCAGGCTCGGCACCGAATGATGGCACACAGAAAGGACAAAGTGACAAGAAACATGAGTTCCAACCATGGCCGACCGATGGCTCGCATGTTGATTCAAAGAAGGCATAAGAACCTAGTGCTCACAGAAGCAATTGTGCTGCTTGTGCAGGCCCGATACTTTTTGCAAGTGGCAGGTTTGCTGTGACAGCATTGCTTGGTTGTGATGAGAGGATGGCACAAAGCTCATACATGAGCTCTTGCGAGGAGTCACGACTAGCATGGCAGGTACGCTCTCACGAAAAGGGCTGTTACCTTGCGTTGCCCATAGCTGTTGTAACAGCAAGTTGCTGTGATTTGCCACCGATTGTGGCCACTTGAATCAACCAATTCGACCCTTGCACGCTCGTCAAAGCATGGTCGTCTTGGGCAAGCAACATCTCAACATTCGGCACGTTCCCCCGGCAGCCCGGCTCCATTCTAGAGACTCGAAGTCGGAATTTTTCACTCGGAGCTTGGCCACAGGCTTTCAGATGGCCGCATTCGATGATGTTGCGGACTTAGGCACTCACATCGCTGCATTTGCCTGGCTATGGCTATGTCAGAACGCTCCCCCGAAACTGGGCGTCTTTTCAACGACAATCAAATCCGGCTGACGAAGTGTGTCACCAACTCACCCGAGGCTGAGGCCGAAACCCTAATGCTGGGCGAGGTTCCTGAGGAGGATGGCCCAGGGCTCAGATCTCAAGGCTGAAGTTGAAGTCTTGTGAACAGAGCAATAGCAACCTCGTGGCATCTCAACACGCAGGAGACTAGTTTTTGGGCAGTTTGGGGGGGGCTTTG